TCGTCAATAATAATGGAAATTATTTGGAATGAATTGATGGTTTTATGTTGGATAAATTTTAGTTCAAAGTCCGGCAGTTTTCAATTCACCAATCCAATATATTACTTTCACCTATCAAAGACAATTCCAATTGTTCTATTGAAGAGATCTGGAAACTCCTCTCGTCTAATCAACGATACCATAGCCATTGTTCCATTCATACTCATACATTGAATAATGAATTGAACTTCTTTTCGTTTCCAAACACTGCAAAAATCAGCAAGAAGAGCTTCAATGGCTCCATCGGAGCTATGCTAAATTTGGTAAAGTTCGAACATTCACAATCAAAAATCCAGAGTCAGGATTATCTTTGAAGTTCGGATTATCCTTAAAAAAAACTTTTGCAACTTTTTCGGGTATTATAAAGACCCACATTAAACTATTCATTAACTTCAGTATTTTATTCGTTCATTAACTTCTTGCCTTGCATTAACAGATTACTACACAGCAAATAACATACCAATCCATAGATGCTTTTCCCGGCTCCTTGATAACAAGCTGTGTAGCGCAAAGTCGAGATTCTAATGAATTTTATACTTTAATTTTGTTTCCACTAACCCATGTTCCTTGTAGAGATCAGCGTATTTTTTCAAATTTTTGTCTTGTGCTCCCGCCCATCCAAAGATCAACGCCACCACTTCTCGATTCTCATTCCATTCAAGGACACTTGGTTGTTGGTTCATTATAGCAATAGCAATAGCAATTGTTGTTTGCTTTAACAGCAATTTGTTTGAATTTTGAAGGAAAAAGCTGGTTTTAAAAAATTACAAGAATTGAATCAATAGTGGCAATAGAGGTCGCAAAATTTTAGTTCTGCGCTCAGCGATCTGACCATTTCTGTGTTGTAGTTTGCTTTTTGATGTTCCCATTCTTTTTTTCGTTTCTTTTTGTGATAAGATCATTGTGGATAAGATCATTCATTTCACGAAGAAAGTTGAGTATAAGAAACTTTTTCATAAAATTATGCATTTCCCATTCCCAAAAATGTTTCAATTAAAACACTTAAATTATAGAAAGTTTATTGTAAAGCTTAGGCTTACAATAAACTGCTTTATCTGATAAACTGTAAACAATAGTTTTGTGACAGTTTAACCACACTTCGGAGGATATTTCAGGCTGAGGTACTTGAGCGGATCACCACGTTTGAAGAATTCGCTTGTATCCTCGAAAGCCTTTTGAAAGCTTGGTAATGATGGTGGTGCTAAAATTGATGTTAGCTTTTTTGGATGTTGTGGAATCAAGACTTGTCACTGCAGCAACTCTAGAGCCTTTTTGTATCCTCTAAACATTTGCGTTTCTATATTTCTTTCGTTCCACCAAAATTTGAGCTAAACCGAAACTAAACAGCTGCAAGGCGCCATTGAAGGGATCAATCAATAAAAACAACCTGTAAGAACAAAAAAGGAATTGAAAAAGAAATAAAAGTTTTTATTGTCTTTGTTTTTCTTCTAAAAAGTCACATATGTTCAATTCGGTTTGCAATTCTGCATGCCATTCGCAAGAAAATCAGTGCTCTGGCAAGGCTAGTGTCAGGCATTTTTTCTGGGTCAGACAAAGCCAGATCTAGGCCAGAATCAAGTCAAGTCTTGGCCTGGCTTTACTATAGATTTAACTCAAAAATTGATAAGCCAATAAGCTAATAAGCCATGCTTGGGTCTGGCTTAAAACTTTATTCCCTGATTGGAACAGCTCTGGAAGTAAAAACAACTCTAGACCAAGTTATGGCTTTACAAGGCCAGATCAAGCCAAAGTCAAACCAAAGCCAAGGCGCCATTGAAGGGATCAATCGGTAAAAAAGATCCTGTAAGAACAAAAAAGGAATTGAAAAAGAAATAAAAGTTTTTATTGTCTTTGTTTTTCTTCTAAAAAGTCACATATGTTCAATTCGGTTTGCAATTCTGCATGCCATTCGCAAGAAAATCAGTGCCTCTATCAAGGGTTGAGGCAATCTCCCATCTCCAACAATCTGAATTTTAATGGGCTTTTGTCGATTGCATATTTCTAGACAAGTAACCAACTAAGAGCTTTCATTCCTCCCCGATCCTTGAACATTTCCTCAATCCATGTGTCATTGAAGTAGTTATTAAGGTAGAAATCAGCTGGATCATTTAGCAGGGTCACTATCGAGATTGGTTTTGGCGAGTTTCTGAAATCTCTAAAAACCCTGACCGATTGACTAAGAGCCCCTGTATCGGGAGGTCAAAGGTTCAATCCCACCGGCTAGATTATTGGTTCTTTTTCCCCCATAGATATAGGTTTTTTCTTTCCTAAATTTAGAGCCAAAAAATTGTGCTTGTGCATTGTTTGTACCACATTATTCGTGTGAATCAATCTATTTTTTTAAACAACGTTACTCACTTGTTTTTAAGCGCGATTTTAAGGGCACCCAACATGTTCAAAGCTGAACTCGGTCCACCATGAAGACCTCTTGAACTGAAAAATTGGTCTTTTCAAGTCCAATATCAATTTCGTTCTTTAGTCAACGCACTTGAACTCTCTGAATCCGGCTGCTGTGGCAATGTCGGGCAATTTCACAACCTCATCAATTATAGAAGCCACCAAACTATAAATAATCTCTTTCTCAAATCAAATTCTCTAATAAAAACTCTTAAATAACCGAGTTAATAAAGATTCTCAAAATAAAAACTCTTAAATAACCTTGTCGTGTCTCCAAAGATCACCGGTTCTACTTCGAATCCATAGCCAACTCCAGGTACTCCAGGTTCTTTCCAAAGTTTCATGCCTGATTCATTTTTGAAGCTAAAAGTTCAGAAATTTTGAGAAAGAAGTTAAAATATTATTACCTATTATTCAAGACATAGTCGTAGTAGACTGAGAACTCCGTATCGGCCATGACAACTTTTGTGGGCAAATTGTAGCGATCAATGTATCGGCCCACAGAGGTGATTGTCCCACCTAAACAAGATTTAACTTCAATTGGCTGAATTGATAGCTTTCTTTATTTCTTTTCTCATGAGTTTGGCAAAAGAATATCTGCATTTTATTGAAAATGCACCTGTCCCAGCTCCATGCACAAAATAATCAACATCTTTCTTGGTGACACTCGAATCATCTCTCAATTGGGCTAAAGCTTCATGAAAAACATTTCCACTTTCATACTTGTAATCACCACCTAAATTCAGTTCATCTCTTCACTTCTTTTCAAAATCACTTTCTGTAAACTCTTCAGCTTTTTCAGCATTTCCATGTTGATTTACATAAAATCCACTTGTATTTGCGGCTGTTTCCTTGGCTAGTTGACCACGAAGGCTGTTGTCCGTCTAGAAAATAAGGTGATGTATTTGATGCATTCTTGAAAATATGTATTATGCAACCTTAATGATTTGACCATGATTCCCTTGAATGTTGTCGATTTTTGCCTGTTCGAGATCATGTGAAACCTGAAAAGTTCGTCAAAGCAGACCTTTTCGCTTAAATTAAGAGAGGGTAACTTTCTTTACTTTCTTTACTTTACTTCTTTACTCCTTTACTTACTTACTTACTTTCTTTTGCTTTACTTACTTCACTTTCTTTGAACAGAAACTTACCACAGCATAAAATGGAACACCGATCGCTGAGTACATATAGGCTTCACTAGCAGCCGTATTTCCTGATGATGATTCATAAGTTTTCGAATCTTGAGTCACCTAAAAATACTTGATAACCTACAAATCACAAAATTTGAAAATATAGTAGCTTTAAATCATTTCCTACAGATTATTTATTTATTAACTTAAATGTTTTCTTGTTTTCCCTATTTTCCCTAATAATGATGAAGCGAAAGCTAAGTTCCTTGAAATCTCGACAACCGCTTATCAGAACCTATCGATGTGGGATCGGGAAATGTAGCTGACGATGAGATCTAGTGGGGGATTAGAGTGTTGAGTTTCTTGTGTAAACTTGAAAACCGTAAAATAGTCATGAACTCAGCTAGGTGAGGTCAACTATTAGGGAAAATATACAGCAAATGTTCTTCTACTCCTCACCAAACCATCGACGACCGACCACATTGCGAGCGCCCACGCAAATCGATGCTTGAGTGAGCGAGTCGGTGTCGCTGTCTCATTCTTGATATAGAGACGAAGAAATGGCAGACCTTTTACCTAAATTTCTCTTTTTATTCAACGAAAATTAAGTGAACTGGGTATTTTATGAGTGGTGTGTGCCCGAATTTTGCTCTCTCTTCCCACAGCCGACCGATTGCCCAACTGCGCCAGTCTTGTTCACCTGAGAAAGAAGAAAAGAGAAATTTAAATTTAAACAACTTCTCTAAACAATAAGCTCTCTAAACATTAAAGTTTAAGACTTTGTTAAACTTCAGAGATTATTTTTTTATTCACTTTTTGTTAAACGATCCTGATCAGCTGGAGCGCTAGTTAGATTGGTGATGGTGAAACGAAATAAGCCGAACAGAAGCAAGCAATTAATATACATTTTTCCACTTGATAGAGAAGAATTAGGGACTTCAAAGTGATCAATAAGTAAATGGGATAAAGAATTTCCTGTTTCCAAATGATCAAATGAACTTCTTCTCCTAGAAAAGTGTTTGCTTTTTGACCATAAACTTTGCTCTTTTAACCTCAAAGAGTAAACAAACGAATAAAGAAAAAAAAAAGAGTTGGATAGATTGAAATAATGGCAGGTTCTTTCAATAAAAGACGTCTACTGAAATAAAAAAAATAAAGAAGAAAAGTAAATAAGAGAATGAAATGAGAATTCGATTGCCTAAAGTTGCAGCTAAAGTTTTGAATTTGCAAAAGATCTAAAAATCGTGTTGTAAATGATGGAGCTGTGAAATAGATACCGTAAATACTGTAATAGTACCCACCCCCATAATGACGGTGAAATTGAACAATTCGTTCGAAAAATATTTTATGATTATAGATAATATTGTACAATTAGAAAAAAGCTGAATTTTATTCTTTTATACATGAAAAATTCTTTCTCGAGAACATCGTTCAATCAACTTTTATCGTTGCTATGTTGCCGTTTGAAGCACTTTGCTTTGAAAGGATTGGTGGTTGGTGCTTTGGTTGTCGAGGTGGCAAATTGAAGAGTAGAACGCAGAGACTGAAATAATAATCGAAATCGAAATCACTCGAATATTCACCCACGTTTGCAAGTCACGAAAAATCATCTGGGGAAGTGTGACGTAATAATATTGACCAAGTATCTTCTGCTTGTAATTGGATGGAGTTATGCCGATGTCGACTCGTAAGATTTGTCTTTGCAGATAGGTGACTAGTGAGATCAAATTTGTGATCAACATCTAAACAATCAACTTTTCCAGAGGCATTTTTCCAGCTCTGGCAAGGCTAGTGTCAGGCATTTTTCTGGGTCAGGCAAAGCCAGATCTAGGCCAGAATCAAGTCAAGTCTTGGCCTGGCTTTACTATAGATTTAACTCAAAACTTTATAAGCCAATAAGCTAATAAGCCATGCTTGGGTCTGGCTTAAAACTTTATTCCCTGATTGGAACAGCTCTGGAAGTAAAAACAACTCTAGACCAAGTTATGGCTTTACAAGGCCAGATCAGGCCAAAGTCAAACCAAAGCCAAGGCGCCATTGAAGGGATCAATCGGTAAAAAGATCCTGTAAGAACAAAAAAGGAATTGAAAAAGAAATAAAAGTTTTTATTGTCTTTGTTTTTCTTCTAAAAAGTCACATATGTTCAATTCGGTTTGCAATTTTGCATGCCATTCGCAAGAAAATCAGTGCTCTGGCAAGGCTAGTGTCAGGCATTTTTTCTGGGTCAGACAAAGCCAGATCTAGGCCAGAATCAAGTCAAGTCTTGGCCTGGCTTTACTATAGATTTAACTCAAAAATTGATAAGCCAATAAGCCATGCTTGGGTCTGGCTTAAAACTTTATTCCCTGACTGGAACAACCCTGGAAGTAAAAACAACTCTAGGCCAAGTTTAAATTAAGCATTAAACCAGAGAATGGATAGTTATCAGTTGCCACACAGTACCAGCTGAAACAGAATAGCTGAAGAAGCTCTCAAAATAAACGAATTCCTAGTTTCAGCTATTTACGAAGCTCTCAAACTAACGAATTCCTGGTTTCAGCTATTTAGCTGAATAACTGAATAGCATTTACAAGGCCAGATCAGGCCAAAGCCAAACCAAAATTTCGTTAATGATGACAGTTTCCCTTGTAAACTTTAGACTTCTGATGCACTCAAATCCGGAAAACAAAAGAATAAGTAAAAAGAGGAGATTAGTCAATTAAAAAATAGTCTTTTGAAATGATTTTCACATTTAAAAACTGGTACATTATGCAAAAATTTCTTGTGAATTTTCATGTCATTTGTTTATGTTCAATTTTTCACAATTTCAACGCCAATCTCCTGAAAATTCTCCTGAAAAAAGAAAATCGAGATTTTAATTGACTTTGATCTCGCTTTCACCCGGCTATGAACGATTTAGCTTACCATAAGCACCAACTTTATGTTGGCATTTCCTCTTTGTGTCGAGTTGATCGTCGTATTCTAAAGTGTTGAGTTTAAAAGAAGAAGAAATTGATGAAGAAAACTGTCTATTTTAAAGCAAACTTGCAAGTTTTTTTCTCAAAGTTTTGCTTAAAACAAAAAAAGAAACAAACCAATCTCCGGATTTTCCACAAAACGAGCGAATCGAGAAGGATAGACAAGCCGGCGGAAATTGGAGCCGCATAGATATCGATCCAGTCTTTCCAATAGTATTGTAGAAGGGCTTTCCATGAGTAGAATGTCATTAATAGATAATTTAATGGACTGAAGTACGTTCCGCCATAGCAAACATAGTCCGTTGTTTTATTGGTCACTAAGCAAAGCATTTTTCAAGCTAAAATTTCTCTCACATGTGCCAATTTGCATCAAATAGCCGATCAATGGAATGATGACTAAAATCGAGCATTGTGGAAGAGCTAGACGCTCAGCCTGGGTGAAGTAAATTCCATTGAAAAAGACTGCGAAAAAGCTTGAAGATGATTTTTAGATGTTTAGATGATTAGAACAAACCGATTGATACAAAAGGCAACAGCCACTAGTTTTATTGTTAGCTCCAATGCAAACTCGCAGGCAGTTATGATAAAATTAAGCATTAAACCAGAGAATGGATAGTTATCAGTTGCCACACAGTACCAGCTGAAACAGAATAGCTGAAGAAGCTCTCAAACTAACGAATTCCTAGTTTCAGCCATTTACGAAGCTCTCAAACTAACGAATTCCTAGTTTCAGCTATCACTGAATAGCTGAATAGCTGAATAGCTGAATAGCTGAATAGCATTCAATCTGTTAAAAGACATACTTTATAATGCAAATGATTCGATTGAATCTGCTGATTGCAAAGAGGAATTTTGCAATCAACTCGATGAGCATATAGCATTTGACGGCTTTGCTCAGTATCTGACTTCTTGCAATCACTCGTATCGTGTGACCAACAAAAAACAATTCAAAGGTACCCGCCTGGAAAAGAATTGGATAAAAAGGACTATTTCTCTTATAAAAATTCAGTTAGTCAGTTAGTTTTTATTGATTTAACCGAACAACAAAACCAAAACATAATATTCTTTTGAAATAACTACAGGATTTTCAAGATTTATGGGGACTTTTGAGCTCGCAGATTGTTTAGCTCTCTCAAAATTGATTTATTTAATCGTCAAGAAAGCACTGTTGGAACAAATTAGATTGTTTTTATAGTTTACTAAATTTGAGATTCCAAAATCGATTCATTGTAAATCAATGACCAAATTTCAGAGTCAAATCTCAGTTGTTCTTCTTTAACGATAAGAAAGTAACTATTTAACAGTTTTTGAATCTATGAGACACTAAAAATGAATCAGATTTCAGTTTTGGTTCTTTCAAGAATGCTTAACGAGAGTTTGTGAGAAATTCAATTTATTCGACCACAGTCATTTCTCATTTCATTGAATGCTATTCAGCTATTCAGCTAAGCTAGGAATTCTTTTGTTTTGAGAACTTCTTCAACTATTCTAGACAAGCCACAGCGCAAATGGCAATAATTTTTTAAAAAGTAACTTAAATTTGTTAACGTTGGACGTATTGATAAGTGTGTTTTCTTTTAGCATTAAACTTGTGGGCTCTAAACCTAATAGTCTACTGATTTCCAAATATTGAATACTCTGTACAAACCGCGGCAAGCATAGCAATGACCGGTAGATCGCTATCCGGACGATTTTCTGGCCTAATCGGCATTCCATTCGGCAACGTGGGTACGGTGGTGATAAATATCCATGCACTAGGTAAAATCGCATATCGAAGCGGGCATTCAAAATCCCGGAATGGACTAGATTCTAGGGAATACTCGATTAGTTCTTCGAGGGTTTTGTTTGCCCAATCATCATAAGACAATGTGCTTGTCGGCAAGAGATCGGCCATTCTGAAAGATTGAATCAAAGTATTTTTGTGTCCTTATAACGAAGAAGTATCGTAATTCTGAGTTTGATGACGTAAAATGTCAAAAAGTTTGATGCAATGATTAGAAGAAGCCACTATTTATGCATCAAAGCTGATTAAACTCTACTTTTAAGCCTCTAATTTGCATTTGCATCAAAAAATGTTTCTGTTTTCTCTCTTCCTACTCATTTTCACAAATTTAAACAATCACAAAAAAAAAACGAAACAAAAATCGGTGAAAATTTTGTACTTAATTGATAGTTTATTCAGAAAATGCAGCGAGAAAATGTGATTAAAGCTATGCTGAAGAAATTGAGATAGGTAATTGAGGTGTAATGTTGATTATAATTGGTAAAATCTTCTTTTTACCAATTAATTTACCATCTTTATTCTAAGCCCCGCCCATTCACGTCACGAGTTGCATCAAAAATTTAATTCTAACCTATGACCATGAGTTTGATGTCAAAAGAAAAAAAACTTTCACTCTATTTGACATCAAATTTATAACTACCGTAAATACTGTACTAGTACCCGACCCCCATAATGACGGTGCGGAGTGTTGCGTAGTCTAGCTTTGAACGAGTTTTTCTCGACACTGGTTTATGCTACAATGCGCGCTTAGGTATCAAAAAATAGCTGAAATTCAGGGCTATTTTTTGAAAGTACGGGCGCTTTGAAAAACATGAAATACTAAAAAACTTTTGCGACTACGCGACTGTACGAGGGGCATTGGGTACTATTACAGTATTTACGATAAGTCTAAACTGTAGCGAAGAAAAAACCAATAATTTAGCCGGGAACCCTTGACCTCCTGGCAAAGATATAGGGCTCTTAGCCAGTCAACTGTGAAGCCCATTTCTTAGTCCCATTTTGACACATTTTTATGTTTAATATACCAAAAGATAACCCTTAATGTCTTCTATCTTTTGGTATATTAAACATAAAAATATCATAAAATCGGGCTGAGAACGAGTCAAGTTGGTCGAGGGGGCGGCGTTTATTAGAATAAATACGGTAGTCTAGCTTTGAACGAGTTTTTCTCGACACTAGTTTATGCTACAATGCGCGCTTAGGTATCAAAAAATAGCCCTGAATTTCAGCTATTTTTTGATACCAAAGACGCATTTTTTTGAAAGTACGGGCGCTTTGAAAAAAAATTAAATACTAAAAAGCTTTTGCGACTACGCGACTGTACGAGGGCGGTGAGTATTTACGTACAGTATTTACGGTATATATTAAAAATTAATTTTCTTGGTGTAATTTTTTTTCTGACGTGAGTGAGAGGGGGGGGGGGGGCACATCCGCGCGAAATGGTGTTTTCTATCCGTTTTCCATGTTTGAATAGCCATTCAACGCAGAAAAATGTGCTGATTTCAATGGTGAAAAAATTATCAAAATCCGTCTGATACATTTTTTAAAAATCGCATTTTATCGAAAAAACCGCACTTTTACAAGCAACTCGCTCGCAGTGACCAACTTTCGGCGGCTCGTTTTCAGCGTGGTCGAAAGATTGCGCCCTCAAAACCGATAACTTTTGTGTGGACCTTTATAAAGATCATTTTGATACCAAAAAAATAAAAATCGATCAACTCTGCGAAGACTTGATGCCTTTTTAAGTTGAAAATGACGTTTTGCGACTTTCTGCCCGCTAAAACGTGGGCAATCGCCAACAACCTATTTAAAGCAGCCAGACATTTATATTACTCTATTTGAATTTGTCCTTTTTCCCAGAGGCTTTTAACTTATATTTAACTTATCTCTATTTAAATTGTTGATAAACAAACTCTTAGTAAGCTTTTTAATAGGTTCGGTATATTTCTTGTTCACAAAGAGACGGTCAACCAACTACCAGCAGTCATTTACCAGATAATTTTTTCACCATTGAAATCAGCACATTTTTCTGCGTTGAATGGCTATTCAAACATGGAAAACGGATAGAAAACGATTTTTCGCCTTATTTCGCGCGGATGTGGGGGGGGGGGAAGGGGGCCGTCTTTAACATGAGAATATCGTCACTGGCAGGATCAACCAGATAAATAAGGCTTAGAATAAATAAAGTAGATCAACTACTGGCAACTGAAACTACTGGCAAAATGTTTCAAAACTACTTTTTTTTGCTAGAAAGTTAACTTCCAGGATACTCAATAGAAAGAAAACGAAAAAAAAGAAAAACAAGAGTACTTTAAGAATCTAATGATGAAGTACCGTTTGTCTCTGACTCCGGGTGTGCTAGGTTCAATGATTTGAGTTCAATCATTTCCCGAAATTCTCAGTACCCTTACAATTATTTCCATAATTTAAAGCCTCTAATTCAAATGTTCTTGATTTTTGCTCCTTTTTATAGTTGTGTTTTAGTTTATGAAAGCTTTTAATACTTAATCACCGACCTTTTCTGCCTTCAGATCTATAATTTTCTGAATTTCTTTTGTTTGCTCTCATTTTAGTTTTTGCAAACAAACACAGTACCAATATGGATGAATTTTCCAACGAGAAACTAAATATTTTCCTCCAATTCCTTTTCAACCACTCAATAGGTCGAAAAGTTCTAAATACGAAATGACAATTGGATTTTAATGAAAAATGATTACGCTCAGGTTTTTTATAGATTTACGGTTGAAAAATTGATTATCTTTCGTTAATCATTTACCGAAAGTGACTCAGAATTTGGCTTTTCGCGCAGAATCCCCAAGTAAGTTACGAATTTCAGCAGGATGCTAGCATTCAAAGCAATGGATGACGGCTAATGGAGTGGTTTCGATGGATTGACCAAATCGATCGCGTGATCTCAACCCCATTGAGAACCTCTGGGGCATCTTGGTTCGAAAGGTTTGCAAGAACCGACGGTAGTTTTCATCGGTTGCTGATCTTAAAGTCGCTATTCAGCTCGTTTAGAACAATTTGGGTGCAAACGTCTTGCAAAACCTGCAAAACATTCTTCAATGCCAAATCGCATTTTTCAAGCCATCAATCGAGCGATTATTGAATAAGAATAACCGACTATTGAATAAGAATAACCGACTATTGAATAAGAATAAGAATAACCGATTATTGAATAAGAATAACCGACTATTGAATAAGAATAAGAATAATCGATTATTGAATAAGAATAACCGATTATTGAATAAGAATAATCAATTATTGATAATGTTTTCTTTGGCCTTTGTCACCTTGGTGTCTGTCCCCAGCTAGTTTTTCTTTGTTTTTCTTTGCCTTTTTAATAATAACATTTTCCTAATATTAACTATAAAAATTTATCAGAAATAATCTTTAACGAGCTAAAAAGGCTGTACAATTACTAAAATATGTGCACCGGTATCACAAATTTGGAAAGCTAAACGACTTGAGTTTGACCAAAAAAAAAAACAATAACAACTAGCGATTCTAAGAAAATGAAAAAGAATCATCAGTAAAAATGCAAAAAAAAGAAAGAAAGACAATGCATATGGCAATAAAATTTAGCTAAAATGATATTCTATTGTTTTTCTTCATCGCTATGTTCAGGTTCACCCTCGTACTCGGCTGAAGTCATTCTTCGACGACCACGTGGGACAAAGAATTGCTCACCGGTTTCTGAAAATGTTTATGATTGAAGGATGGTTAGTGTTAGATAACTATATTGAAATCTAGTCTAGTTAAACTTAAACTTTTTAAAGTTACAACTCCAAAACATTTCCTACCTCCATCCGAGTCCGATGATGCGCCAAGATCTCGAATCCCAACCACTTGATTTTTTCTGAAAACTTATTATTTTGATCGGTTACCTACTTATCAAATTTTCAAGATCAGTTTTTACTTTTTTTTTATTTCCTGAAAAACAAACCTCTGTGTTTGGCCGATTGAGTGACTTCTTTTTGAAATAGAAGTCCTTGATCCCCTTGTACTCGAATGGGAAAGATGGCGAACCGGAGAACAACAAGCATCACGTTTGAGGCCACTAAAATCAAGATAAAATGGAGAAAGTTTGAGTCTTTTCAAATCAATTGGCTATCAACTACTTTTCTCAGTATTCTAACTTTTAGAAAAGCTTTGAATTCAGTAAAGTCAAGCTGAATGGCTAGCTCAAATAAAGCATAGTGTTATCCCTTTAAAAATGGTGAATTAGATATTTGTAAAACATAAAACTAACATGTTTGTACAAACAAAACACACCTGGAATTTCCCTCTTCAACCGACAATCCGGAATCATTCTCATCACCTTTCTTCTCTGGAGAATTTATCGGTACAGGATTTGAAGTGTTTGAAGTGGAAGCTTCCATCAACTAAAATTTACAATTCATTCATTCATTCATTTCATTCATTCATTCCATTCATTCATTTACTTTATAAATTACCTCCAATCTTTAATTTTTTTTGTTATTTCTAGTTCAAGCAGTTAAACATCAAAATAAAATGAAAACAAAAGGAAGGGCTCGAACCCGAGCAAAATTTGATAGCTTGTTTCGGAAAGGAGACTGTTATCCACTACACTACAAGCTCACGATTTGATACGGTGAAAGAAGCTTTATATAGGGACTGATCTTTGGCTAATTTGACATCAAAGTTGTTCGCCAGATTCCTCGCTTTTTCGCATTTTGCTTTAATTTTGCAAAAACGGATAGCAGCATTGGAATCAGTGTAAACTTCTGCGTCGGGTATGGCTCAGTTCATTTGGTCACCTCAGTCTTGTGAGCTTCCCTTGTTAGTATGAAGGCTCTGGCTTTGGCTTTGGCTTTGGCTCTGGCTTTGGCTCTGGCTTTGGCTCTGGCTTTGGCTCTTGTCTTTATAAAATTTCTATTCACCTCCGCTTGTAGTTCTTCCTCATTCTCTTCGGGTACCGACTTAGTAATTCCTCGACTCATAATCGAACAAGGCCGCTCCTCAGCCACATTGAAAACCTCCACATTTCGAACCTTCAATCATTTTTTGAATAATTTAAGTTCTCTGACAAACCTTATTATTCTCGTCTAAGTAATGGAAGGCATATGTGGCTTCGTGGGTTGCTGTGTACTCAATCACTTGTGATAGCGAGCCCTCTTCGGCTTGTTGACTTGTACTAAAGAATTTTTGATCTATGATCCAATAAACTTCATTAATCTAAAGGGTCAAAAAGGTGTTTACAATATAATATTCAAAAATTACCCCATTGCCGGTGAGTGCGAGATGAGCGAAGCTTTTCTGAGATTCGGATCTACTGGTGACAATTCGCAGCTCAACCTCGACGGTCGAGTGATCTGTATTGTTTGTATTTCAAATGCCTAGCTGTTTTACTAAATCAGAATTCAGAAGAAACTAGAGTTGAAATCTACCTTGGTGCCTTTTCTCTGCTTCATTCGTCTGTCTCTTTCCCGGAGTTGGGCCAATTCTTGTCGCGCCTCTTCGCTCAACTCGATCTCACCAAAATGTTCCTTCAAATTGCTTTGACCAGAAGACTCAAAGTCACACTCAGTGATAGCCAATTGGCAAGAGTATCTAAATTTGATTGTTTGAAACGTTTGGATTTGTTGTTGTTGTTGTTGTTTTGAGTTATAAGAACAATTTCGAGTTTCTAAAAGCTCTAGAAAACTCTAGAAACTTTGGTGCTCTAGAAAACTATCGTAATCCGAGTACAGTAGCTTTTTCTGTCTTTTAGAAAACGTAAAGAGGCTCTTAAGATCGTGCTTACCTAGCCGATAATTGACTTCTTTGTCGATCAATCTCTTCATACATGAAATCGACCAAATCGGAGAATTTCTTGAACAACCAATCCGGACAAGCGACCGTATGAATGTAGGAGGCAATTCTAAATTATAAAATTCTTGGTTTTAATCAGATTTAATTCAAAACTAAAAGCTGAACCATTCACTCTTTTCAAAAATCCCATAGCTATTACCAGAATTTCTCCCCTAGACACCAGGGTTCAGTTTTTCCCACCCGCGGTTCTCCTATCAATCAGAGGAAAGTTTGACTCTCAGGCTTTCTCAGCTTTTTTTTTTCTTCTTTCAAATCTCTTTCATTCATTCAATCCATAAGAATGGCGCCACACCGATCAAAGCACGTGATTGTTACTTTTTCAGAGAGAAATTCTCTCATTCCACCAATGCTTAAAACACGTTTGGAATTTCGGGAACTGGAGAAATTATGGATTGATGATGTACAGGATGTTTCAAAAGTTCTTACCGTAAATACTGTAATTGGACCCCACCCCCATAATGACGGTGCGGAGTGTTGCGTAGTCTAGCTTTGAACGAGTTTTTCTCGATACTGGTTAATGCTACAATGCGCGCTTAGTTAGCAAAAAATAGCTGAAATTCAGGTCTATTTTTTCATACCAAAGACGCATTCTTTGAAAGTACGGGCGCTTCGAAAAAAATGAAATACTAAAAAACTTTTGCGACTACGCGGCTGTACGAGGGGGTGGGGTACTATTACAGTATTTACGGTATATTTTTTCTGTAAGGAATTTTTTTGACTTTGACTTGAGAAATACGTGAATTTCGGAAAACTAACGCCGGCTTCTAAAAATTCAGACATTTTTCTCTCAATATGCTCATTTTCATAAAAAGATTTCAACACTAAACAACTTTTTTTGACTAGCAAAAAACTTTACATCTCGATCTGATCGCTGAAGATTCTTGCGAAAGTTGATTTAAACTTTACAGAGTGAAATCTTTTCTAAAAACTATTGTTACCGTTTGATAGACCTAAGTTTTTAGGTCTATCAAACGTTTTTGACTTGTTTTTCTTTGAAAACAAGTTAAAAACGAACTTTCTATCTTAAAAAGGAAAGATTTTCAATCAGTTTTACGACGAACCCTTAAATCTTAAAAGCAAAAAAAGCGCTGTAAAGACCTTTAAAAATCCTCCTCAAAAGTTGTTTAAAGTTGCAACTTTTAGGCAAAAAAATACCCGAATTTTTATAATCCAGTGTTATTTTTTAAAAAAATAGGATGTTTTCTGAGTCAAACTCTCGTTTACAAAAATTAAAAGAAATTTTGAGAAACCCTGTACTTATTGTTAGGAATTTCTAGATACTAACCCAAATTTATAAGCAAAGTTCTTGAAAATAGAAATTTGCACTTGTAAGAATTGCCCTTTAGGACTAAATCTCACCTTTTTGCCATGATCAACATGACATCTAATGGATATTTCCAAATCCCGAACACCATCCTTGTCATTTTCATCAATCGAAACGAGAAAACCCATTTCAAAAAAGTCGCCTCAGCTTTTGACGCCTCATCGAAAGCTAAAGTTGCCTATCTTTCCTTTGTGTCTGCTCTGATTAGTTCAGAAATTTGTAAACAACGAAAAAAAAAGAGAGCGCACTCTCTATTTTGATCACCTCTCTAGACAAAAATATCGAGAGATAGGTAAACAAATTTCTCTTAATGAGCTGCAAATGGGGGGAAACCTTGAAAAAAAAAGCTACGAACTTCTTTGGATAATCGACGGGAAAACAAGATCCGCGTTGTGCATATGATCGCTATCACCACAAGTATCACACTCCGAATCAAAACGTTTCCTAAACAGTTGAATTTGATCAAAATTATCAATTTAAAGATCAAAATTATCAATTTAAATCTTAAAACTGTTCTTAAAAGTCCTTAAAAGTTCTTAAAAGTCTTTAGTACCTTGTTCCTTGACCATTGTAGTTTGCGGATCTTGTTCTTGAGCGAGTTGGTGGTGAAAACGGTCGACTTGTGTCCGATGAGGAAGAAATCTATAAACTTATATGTGAATTCTCAATTTCTCAGAAGTTATTGTACCAAATCCACTTACCATTGATGCTTGTGACGGCGGTGGATTCGGCACAGCGTCTCCCATGTTTGTTTGAATGGTGAGACACTTGATGCAAGTGGTCATATCTAAATTTTGATGAAATGTTTTTGATCTAAGAAATAGCTTTACACTTACTATTTCTTGTTAAGAAGCGAACAGTATCGGAGAATCCTTGTAGACACATTTTTGTGCAATCTTCTAATGAGGGAGGCATTAGAATAGCGATTAAACGGAAAAAGTTCATTGTTGTGAAACGCATTGAGGTGTTGTTGTAAGTCATGCCAAAGAAGCTGAAAGTTTGAATGATTTTAGAATATTTTAAAGCTTTAACTAAGTAACTTTGAAGTAAATAAGTAAGTAATAAAGGAAGTAACTTTGATTAAGTAAGATGAGTAAGTAAAATCATTGATCTCTCAAATTCTAACTCAACTTTAATTTGTTTACTATAGAAATTACTGTCTTAAGAGAAGATTCTATTCAAGACTTACCCAGCTGATTCATAATCGAGTGGACAAATATCGCTTTCACCGCTAAATGGAGAAACGGTGACTGTATGATCATCAAATAGAGGCAAATTATCGGAAAATCCTCCATCCACATATCTTACTCCACGAAATGTTGGCAAAATCACTCCACAAACTCCAGGAATAAAACAGGAACAAGTAATACCCTGGAAATTTCTAAATATTTAGTTTTAAAACTTTTTTTTACATCAACAAGCTCATCATTGTTAGCGAAATCCTCGAGAATAACATTCTTTTTATCACTCCATCGAGTTACAGAGATTTTAAGACGAGCAGAACATCTAAAACTTTTAAAAGCGATTGTATACTTGTTAAGTAATACGTTATTTATATTATATTAAAGGGTTTTTACCTGATATATGCATCTGGCGGTAAATATCTTCTGATTTCCTCTTTGACGAGTCCCATTAGATCGAAGTTTGGAGAGATGACACCAAGGGAGCTTGATCTGGCCTGAAATTTGATTGCTTTTAGATGATATAACTGGATAAATTTGTGATAAACACGATACAGTATTCGATTAGTTGAAAAAATCCACTTCTCTGACTATCCTCAGCATCGTTGATGTGGCTTGACTAATACAAACGTCAGTGACTAGGCCAGCGGCAACGATCGCTCCAGCGCTTGCTCCGGAGATTGTTCCTTTTTGCATCAACTCGGGAGCATATTCCTGAGATTTTACTTGGTAAGTACGGTTAGAAATATATTAATTTATACTATAGCAATTTAGCAATACAGCTCTAGCTCTAGAGATTTCGCAATACAATATAACAAATCAGCTCTGGCAAGAAAATCTTGTAAATCCTGGATTTGTTACGGGTTTAAAAGCCTGGTAATATTGCTTGTTTTGATCTTTTAATTTTTTTAATCTTTTTTCCAACCTTTATTGCAGCAGCCACTCCAGCGTGATACAAGCACAAAAAACCGCAACCGGAAAAGCTGAGATTCATCCGACTCGGATCGCTATTTATCATTGTCATTTTGCTAAAATGGGTTTCGTTTTCGATTTCGATCAAAAAGAATCAGGCTAACGTGAAAAATGGCTCTACAAGACCACAAAAAAAAGGCGATCATTGCAAAAGATAAGACTAAAACGAACAAAAGAGGGCAAAAAGCGTAAAATCGGGTCAAAAACTGGTCATCCGAGGATTTCAAAAGTAAAATAAAAGAAAACAAGAGTATTAAGCAAAATAATTGAATAGCTGAAAAGGATTGAAAAGTGAAAATAGTGTGCTTGAAATTGAGTGGAAAGGGGGATGGGGGTTTCCCCGATAGGCAGCCTTGAGTCAAAAGACAAAGAAAGGAAAACACGTGACACCGAATCTAAATATTACGAAAGCAAGGAAACGAATTGATAAATTGAAAATATAATAACCTAGGCTAATATAAAGTTTATTTAAAGATTTTTGAAATTGAAAATTTCGTGGAAAGTTTGAGGGGTGAAAATGCACTCTGACGCCATGCCCATACCACGGACAGACGGGAGGCGCGTGGTCCAGGAGAAAGATTGGAGAAATTTGTGGAGAGCGCAGAGAGTGGTCGGCCTGCCAGCCGACACCCAACACTAGAAATCTCTATTTCTCCAAGTTTCATCTGTTCTCTTTTCCCTAAAAACTGTCCTCTCCATTTGGACTCCAGTATTTCTCCAAATCCTCTTCTCATTTCCAACATCTGCCTATCCATCTATACCCTTTTTCCCATCTTTCCCCATCTCTTCAATATCTTTTCAACTCAAGAAAATGTGCATTTGATCGCGTTCGATTTATCTAGGAAGAAAAAAAAAGTGATGGCACCACGTGGTTTTCCTAGCTCTTGCCAAAAAACCTCCTTGTTTTCTCATTGAGATACATTGTAAAAAGCCGGAACTAGAAAAGTATTGGATTAAGGACAACAGAAAGGCCAAAAGCAAGAGTCAAGTTTTGAGGGAACAATGGGAATTAAGCGCAAGAAAAGCCAAGTCATGAGTTTCAGAAAAATGATAAGAGAATGAAAAAATTGCAAACTATAAAGTAGAGTTGAGTCAATGATTTGCTTAAGAGAAAGATTTGGCAATTTTGTTGAGTACAAGTTTTCAATAGTTTCGTAATTGGTGTCGAAATTTGCCGGGGGCATTTTGGTGTTTGACCTGATAGAGTGGAGTGGGTGTGGGGAAAAGGGTGAACAATAAAATAAGGGACGGGAGGGAGGGAAAGATGTCTAAAGATCAAAGCATCAATCGACCATTCCCTCTTTTTACCAATGACGAGTTTAATAGGAAACTTGAGACTCAGCAATTTTAGAGAAATGAGAGCTTATAAAGAGCATATGATATTGTCAGATTAGTTGTTAGAGAATTGTTTGTAAGGATGAAGACCAGATTTGTATTTAAATTCTAGAGAAACCTCAAAACTCAGTTTTAACACAAAATTCTTTAAAATCTTACGTTCGAATAGTTCGAAGAGTTCAAAAACCAAAGATCCAAGAGTTGTTCAAGGACTTTGTAAGACTAGAACTAGCTTAAGGATTAGACTAGAACTGTGAGACTAGCTTAAGGACTAGACCAGAACTATGAGACTAGCTTAAGGACTAGAATTGTGAATCGACCCGAATCTTGCTGATTTTGTGACAAGTTTTCAATTATGAGTAACTACAATGACTAGTATCAATAAAGAATAAAGGCTGATCTATTTAGCTAATGGCTGTGAATCTAGAAGCTTCGAAAATATTGATCTCTGTGCAAATAGAAGCAATGGTCAGCTAACCTCATTGAAAGGCGGAGTCTAGCGGTCAGCTGTGAGACACAAACACGATATGCAAATATGAGGCAAGGAAGCTGTTGTAAGATGAAAAGAACTCATTAACCATGAGCAAAATATCTCATGACCATTATCAAATGTAGTTTATTCCACCCTGTACAGACAATGTGAGTTTAGAGTGTCAGGGTTGGGTCATTTGCTGTCAACATGCCAGTTAAATCTCGGTTAAATCTGTTCATTTGATGGCAACTCGCGAATCTTTTCCACTTTTTACACTTCTTTTTCATTTCTACTTACTCCTGAGTTTCATTTCTACCCACTTCACATCTTGTACAACTGAAAAACTAGCAGATAAACATAGCCGATCAAAACATTACGATTCTCCGGCCGTTAGGAAGCAATTTTGGGTCCATTTCTTTAAGTTCTTCAACAATCTTTTCCTAAACGTGTGTATAGAAAGCAAATATTGTTGGTTAAACGTTAAGATTAGCAAATCCGTTTTCGGAAAATTCTTTCTTTGACGAGAATCTCATAGTAAAATTACGTAGATATTTCAATAATTTTGAAATTGGAAATTTTTGAGTGAAAATAGAGCCACCAATTTGAAGAGATTTTGAAATGTTCTGATTATCTGATTTAAAATATCGAGACATGAAAATCAGCTGATTTCAGTTTTTAAATAGGCTCAATGATTCCTGGAAAAGTTTAAACTTCAATTTTGCTTAAATGCCTTAGCTTAAGCACTTAAATTTTGCTAGGTAATCTGTCTGCTAGTTGAGTATTTTTTTAAATCTTTTTACTGAACTTTGATATGTTTATTTCTGGTAAATTGGAAGAAGTGGCGGATATTTGAAATAGGAGAAATGTTTTGAGCGTGAACATAACGACATCGCAAAGCCAACAAGGAATATAACATCAATCAAATGAGAAAACTATGAGGAAACATTAATAAGTAAACGATTTTAACTCTAATTGATTGATTTGATTCTTGCTTGCTGTTGAATGATCTGATCTAATCAACTTCGTTGAGCCAATGATTCATTGAGAGCGGCAATCTGTAAGAAAAACCTTACAGTTAGATTTTCTTAAAGTTTTCAAAACTTATTTCAATTGTTTGTATACTTAGATCTTTATCTAGTTAGCTAACATTTTCCAAACAAACCTCTTCTTTCGCCTCGAATAATTGATTGTTCACAGTGCCGAATCGAGTAAGCAACTAAACGAAAAGAGTTCATTATCCCAGTGCTTTTTTGCCGTAACTTTATCAAGAGATAACAAGTTTCATTTAGCTTTTCTGACATGCTTAAGACAGCTATAAGCTAAATCAAAGTTGGCCTAGTTGCAAGCTAAAGTTAAGTTAAGAGAAATGAACCTAACTTCGGAATCTTTTCAAGAACAAAACGATAACTTTGACTCACTTTCACTTTCTCGTTTCGTTCTTCTTTGAGCTCGTTCTCGAGTCGCTGCTTTTCCAATCTCATCAGTTCAATTGCACCATTTGACGAGCGCACCTTCTCGATTGCAGCACTGAGCTCTTCATTTCTCTTCAGACTTTCTTCGGAACTTCTTTTGTAGTTGTCAATGGCTTCATTCATCGTCTCCACTTGCTCTTTCCACTTTTGAGAGTTTTCCTTCTAAAAATGATTCCAGTTCTTGTTTTTAATCAAAACAATTTTCCCTACCGCTTCTCGTGCCTCCTTTTCCATTTCCACCATCCGAATTTTCGCTTCTTGAAGTTGTTGTTGGAATTGTTCTTCAGTCAACTTCTTGTTTTTATCTCTCTCTTCACATTCTTGCATCAAAAGTCGATTTTTATTTTGCAGTAGGTCGACATTTCTTTGGAACTCGTCACTCTTTTCATTTGCTTCTTTCAATTTCTCATTGAAGTGCGACTTTTGGGCTTTCTTCTGTTCAATTGCTTTCTGAAAGTTTTGAAATAATGAATTGGCTGAATTTGGAAATATTTCATTGAATAAGAACCAGAAATGAACCGCTCAAACCTTGAGATCCTCCTTCAATTCTGTCACGGCAGTTCTCTTCTCATTCAAATCGTCTTGGAGCTTCTGGATGCTTTCCTCTTTTTCTCGAAGCTGATGGTCGAAGCTTTGTGCGGAGTTCTCAGTGAGTTCATCAAGCTAAATAGAGTATTGAAACAGTTTCAAAAACTTCAGTTGTTTGATTGATTTTGCTATCAAGATAACAAGATGCTCTTATTAAAGACTAGCCTTGAGCTTTAAATCGATCGTCTGTCTTTCAACAACTCGTAGAGACATTTCCTTATCTTGGAGTTGCTTCTTCAAATACTCAACCTCGACGTCTTTATCGCTGATTTGCAAGTCCTGTAACAAGAAAATCGATTTTAAATGTTTTTAAGCATTACAGGTCCAAATGGTGCAAAAAGTCTGGCAGAAGGATGTGGGCTCGTTCGATAATCTCTTTTCCCGACCGGTGTTGTAACTGAATTGTATTCTGTTTGAGAAATGATTCGAAAATTTTTACAAATCAAGGCAAGTGGCTCTTTTGCGAGTGTGGATGTCGATGGGTATTCGGGAGCCTATAAATACATGTTTGCAAATTATTTTCTAATGTTTACCTTTAGCAGATCTTCTTCCACCTCATCAGCCGCTTGTGGCGATGATTGAGCCATTGATTCGGTTGATTCTTGGGTGTTGGAAAGAATCTCAGGCTCATCATCGGGGTCCTTTTGTGGTTCAACACTAGTTGACTCTTGTGGATTGGTTATGACGGATTCCAGAATTGGTGCTGTTTCCTGTAAACATCGAAATATGTAAAGCTTACTATTAAAGTATTCATTGATCCGTCCGTTCATCAAAATTTCAAACATTATGACTTATAAACCTAGAGTCAAACCAACCTCATTCAAAAATTGCACTGGAGTTTCGACAGCACCATCATCTTCCTTATTTTTCTTCTCCTTTTCATCAAGTTTCTCCTCCATTAGCTGTTCCCATTCATCCAGCAAATTCACCAACGATGGGAACGATTTTCGGGCCTCATCAGTCATTTCATGAAGTAATTCTTTAGTCCTAAAATTTAATTATAATTATAGAACTTAGATTACTTTAAACAAAGTAAAACTTACAATTCATCGACAACAAAAGCCTTGTGACAACTTTTTCCGTGATTTGTAACGCTCGTCCGTCTCGGCATCGGTTTCTCGCATTGTCCACACTTATAGCGAATCTAAATTAGAATATTACAATGATTAAATCAAGATTAAAGCTTAAAACTTGCTCAAAGCTTTTAGTTTAGTTTTATTAAAAAATCTTAGCTTCTTGTTAAACGCACCTTGTCAAGATGTGTGAGTGCGTGATCGGTGGCGTAATTGCATTGTTGAATGTTGCCGCCACGTAAAGACACGGTCTCATTACAACACTGAAAAATTATAGATAATTATCAACTAGCAAATGATGATAGCTATGAATTGATAATTTCTTGAATCAAACGTTTTACCTGACACCGAGAAATCCCAGCTGGAGATGAGGGAAGCTTGGACCGCATTTTGGTGATCTTTTCCTTTTCTTCAATGACAGCAGCTGGCGTTTTGTAGACATCAAAATCTAGAGTTTAACAATTAAACAATTTTTAATTAATCTTTTAACGTTTCAAAAGATTATAACTCACCGATCGACTTCTTTTTGCCGCCTCTTCCTCTTCCGTTGCCCACTGGTGTTGCAAAGACGTCATCTAAAGCAAACTTATCGATTTTTATGTAAATTTTAAAAAAAAAACAAACTAATTGATGTTCTAAACTTATAAATTAATTAAGTTATAAACGTTCACTCACTTTCTTCAGCAGCATTTGGCGTTTCTTGCGTGACCTCTTCAAGTGCTTTTGTTGGCGAAGCGGTCGGTGTCTTTGGCTCTAAATTTCTTTTTTAGTATTTTGATCGAATGAATTTTTTGATTAAACTTCGACACTTGCCTAGTGTCATCGGATACATTCAAACTTTAAACCAACCATGAGCTTCTTTCGCTTTGAGAAACTTCTCCTCTGTTGACACCATTTCTTGATCATCGACTTGCACTGGAGGGGAATAGACGAGTCGAACAAGAGCAGAGTTTACTGGAAAGATAAAATTATAAATGTCACAAAGTGATTTTGCATTGCTTATCAACTAAAGCCAATTTTCGAACCTTCTCTCTTCTTCACAGTCGACGGCGCAGCTATGGCTGATTTGGAGCGTTTTCGATTGATGTTTTGTTTTCCTAAAAACTAAATGAAAGTTATTACATAGTAAGATATAAATTACAATAGATAACAATGTCTTTCTATGCGTCTTACTGACTGCTAAGAAATTCAAGCAATTCTCGTACCTGGCGGCCTTCCACGCCCGATCCTTTTCACTTCGGCAGTGCTCTTCTGTGCTCGAGTGTCACTTTGTGGAGTTGTGGCTGGAATTTACGATTTCTTATAGAATATAAAAGATTGTTTCTGATTTGCAAACAAAAACTTAAAAGGTATCACTCATTTAGTTTTGTTTTAAAGCCTCAATTAACCTTTTCCGCGTTTCTTGCCATTCATTTTTGGTGTCTCGAAGTCCTCTTGCTTTTTCTTCATTGACTAAAAACTGTATCATTGCAATTTTAGAAAGAGTATTTGATTTCTACCTTCTCAAGAGCATCTTTTTTGAGTTCATCACAATGTTGGCGGATTTCATTCTCAAATGACGGAAAACACTCAATGCCTTTCTCGAGAAGCTCTTGCGTGTGGTAAGTGTTTCTGAATTGCTTTGTAAGAATTGATCTAGAACTAATTTTGAAATTCTAAACACTACATTAATTTGATTAAAACTTTAGCTGGTCTTACCAAGGTTATCAAAACTCACAAATTCTCGACGAGTTCCGCTTGCATATCATGCTCGTTTCTGTTGTGTGAGTTGAAATTTCCCCTAATAAGCGTATTGAATGGACAATTTGAGCACCTCCACTAAACAATATCGTTCATAGAGTCAGATATTCAATTAAAATTTGGTTAAAACTGACTCGCTTGCTGACGATGTGAGTTGCGATGTGTGTGATCAAAGTCTTGAAGAAAAATGAACCCTTCTCGTTGTAGATCATTAGCGATTTGCCGCAATTCTGTCAATCAGATATTGTAAAATTACACTATCAGCAACTTAATCAGTTTTTAAACAAACCTTCTCCAAGCACATCATCTTCACTTTTGCATCTTCATCCTCTTGTTTCTCAAATTGTTTCTCTTCGGCTGGCTCTTTTGAATTAAAAGAGACCTGTAACATCTCAGCTAAGATATTGAAAGCAGTATTGATCACTTACAAAATGAAGTGAAGCTTACGAATTGTAGCGATTCCATTCGCACAATTTATAAATTTGCATGCAAATTATAGACTAACTTGTCGTAAAAGGTGGAAAGCTTGAACAAAATACCGTAAACATCACCTTTTGCAACATTCTGTTTTTACCAATCTTGTAGGTAAGTCCCAAGTTTCTCCCCGTTTATTAGTTGTATTGTTTTTATTGTTTCTATTCGTTTTTTATTGGTTTAATTACCAAAGTTTTAGGTTCGATAAACGATTTTTGTCGATTGTCAATCTTCGAGCCTAATCAAATAAGGGCAAAGTATAAGCTATATGGATATCAGTATTTCAAGCAATACACACAACCTTTTCGTTGAGACATTAATGTATAAATCATATCATTTCACCTGTTTCAAGATGCTCTTCACTTTCTTCTTTGGTGGCTCATCATCGTCAATGCTTCGATCCTCCACGTCAGAAAGTGACTAAAATTGGATTTGTTACTGATAATGAATCATTCAAGCTGTTTGATACTGATCTATTACAAAAAAAACTGTAACTTCATCTGCTTCAGATGTTCTTTTGAAGTAAACTTTGTGCTCAACTTTCTAGACAAACCCTTTTAAATCCACCCATTTTTCCATTTGTTTCTAAGCAAGAATTGGTTTTGTTTCTACTTGAGCACAAAGTATTTCAAAGCTAATTTATTATTTTCATTTGTTTCTAAGCAAGAATCGGTTTTGTTTCTACTTGAGCACAAAGTATTTCAAATATTTCAAATGCCATTTTAGGCTCAAGACTAACCTCTTCATCCAAACCACTGTCTCCAGATGGTGTCTCCGTTTTTTGCATCACCTGATCATCATTTTTCTCATCATTTTTTGCCTTCAGCTGCTGCAAGTTCTTCTCCATCCAACCTTTCAGCAATTGTCTAAAGTGTGAAAGCGAATTTAAAAGTTTATAATAGTTTTATATCTGATTCTTTTAGCTGAAAGTCACTCACTCATCAATATCGGCAAAACATTCCTTTGTGATTGCTATGAGTTCATCAATCATTGCGACCGAGCTAAAAGCACTTCTTGTTTCAATAACTATTTATAGTTTTGTCTTAATTCTTTTACTAAAATAGATTTCTACAACAAACATCTTATCCTCAAGCACCGCATCACCGTCGTGTTTCGATTTGATATGGCTCTCAATTTGATGCTTTTGAAGATTTTCGTAGTCGCACTTTGAACAGCAATACTAAATTGCAAGATTTGATTTGTTATCAATTTGCATGTTACCAAATCTTAAAGAGCTCTTAACATGTTGAATGATAGAATAAACGATACCCATTTGAATTGAATGTGTGAATTTGCGTGCAACACCAGTTCTTCGATGTTCTTTGATTCACATTTCGATTCACATCGAGCGCAATTTGATTGAGAAATCCTCTCGTTTTCCTTGTTTTCAAGATCAACTCCCATTCTGTAAAGTATTGGATATTGGTTATTGGAGAGTGAAAGAAAGCAATGAGTCATTGAAGTAATGGGATTGAGATGGGATAATCGATCAGAAAAGCTATAATGTAAGGAAAGTAGAGATTTAATAGAGAGATTTAAAACTAACTTTTAATTGTTTTGGCCTTATTGAGCAGATGTGTTCAATAATTGTTTCTTGAGCTTTCCTATGGCAGATCGATGGGATAATTGCTAGGGAAATTGTCAGTGTTAGCAATTCTTAAACGAATTCTTGTGGATTTTAGTAATTCAAAGTCATAGGCAAAGGAAACTAACTAACAAATCATTTAGCAAATTGATTTGCAAAAAATAGTATAATGTTTAAAAGCTGTAGTAAAAGTAAAGTTTTAAAATCAAGATTGAAATGAAGAATGTCAACGAAATTAGATAAATTTGCTGAATAAAGGTCAATAATTCAATCCAGATCTATCTTCTGCTATTTTATGGAAATTTTTGTGGTTTTAACATTTTCTTCTTTTCCTTTTAACCACCGGAAATTCAAATTCATCCCGGAGAAAAGCTTTTAATGCAAAAATAGCCGTTTCTTTTTTTGGATGTATTTAGATTACAATGGATGTTTTAGCCCTGTATATTAGCTGTTTTTGCCCTATATTAGCTGTCCTTGGCTTTAATTTTTGATAATACAGAGTGCTCAGTATTTACGGTGACTTCTTTTTGATAGATTAGCTCCAGAGCGCCAAGTTTAACCCTAATATGTGAAGTGTTATATTAAAATAGTGAAGCCCTTAATCTTAGCTACTTTTTAGATCAATAATTGTTTCTTGAGTTTTCCTATGGCAGATTGATGGGATAATTGCTAGAGAAATTGTCAGTGATAGCAATTCTTAAACGAATTCTTGTTGATTTTAGCAATTCAAAGTAATAGGCAAAGGAAACTAACTAACAAATTCATTTAGCAAATTGATTTTCAAAAAATAGTATAATGTTTAAGAGCTGTAGTAAAAGAAAAGTTTTAAAATCAAGATTGAAATGAAGAATGTCAATGAAATTAGACAAGTTTGCTGAATAAAGATCAATAATCTCTCAATCCAGATCTATCTTCTGCAATTTTATGGAAATTTTTTTTTTGGCTTTAATATTTGAAACATTTATTGAAGTAGGTCTAAAATTTTGGGAAATTTTTTAGCGCTAATTCGTGAGCCTATTCAACTTGTGCTTAATGATTAATTGGGTAGTCAAAATGAAAAAAACACTTTGATAAGGAAAATCTTTGTGCAATCTTTTATAAGATAAATATAGACAAAAGATTTTAAAGAAATGAATGCAAATTTAGAAAAATAAAAACGCTTTTTACTAGTTTGATAGCTTGGTAAGCTTCTTGGAAGATTTGAAAATGAAACCACGCTTTGTTGAGTGTAAAAAGTAATAAATCTGCATAATTTTATGTATATTTATTATCAAAAGGTGAGATCATGATTATATTTTACATCTTGTGGTCATTTTCAATCTCAACACTACGATAAACAGGCACGATCGATGAAGGCAAAACTCGGGGTTAACATTGCTTGGCCTTCCGTGATTGGGCTAAATAGTTGAATGGGAAAATGAAACAGGAAAAGTAATCTTATTTGATTATTTAGCTATAAAATTCAAATCAGTTTTTAATCTAATCAATTCTAATTATAACTAGATTGTGCTTCTCTCAAATAAAGTATTCTTAAATACACTATCAGTTAAAAAAGTACTGTAGTTTAAAAATAGGAGGTAGGCTAATTTCCGCAATTTTTTTGCCATTTGGGTCTGTAGGGGTTATTTGCGCAATTGAAATGTGAATCTTCAAGATAATCTTCTTCTAAGTGCATCAATCTTTATGATTTTGGTTTCATTTTGTAGATCTCACTAAGTGCAACACAATGAAATCAACATCATAAAGATTGGCTGACTTAGAAGAAAGGTATAGAATTGTGCAAAACCCAGTTGGGCAAGAAAACAGAAATTAGCCCACCCCCAAAATCATGAAAATTTCAAGCAGGGCTTTATATACGGTTTTCAGCTATTCAGTCCTTTGCTTGAATATCTGAAAAATCTTATATAAAACAAAAGCGGAATAGCTTTTTAGAGCATTAGATTTTAGGACTCTTTTTAGAACGCCTTATTTAACGTTTCTTTGCCTTATTATTCAAATAAAAACTTATTTGAGTAAATTTATTCAAATAATTATTTGTTTGAAAGAAAATTTATAACAACTTCAGTATCTTTAGCCTCTTCTAAAGGTCAAAGGTACTACTGGCTTTAGAGCTA